TCCTGTCGAATTTCATTTCAATTTGTTCCGTTACCTTTGCATGAACCCCATTTGAACTTTGAACCACATATCACAATAGCAGCTCATAGCACAACATATAAATTGTGTTTCAAACACTTCTGGATGTGGCTACTTTGAATATGCAATAAATACAGATACAGTATTGTACAAATGTCCATTCTCGAATAGGTTTGTACGGTAAGGTGTCCCTACTGCCTACGTAAGTACCTTGCCATGCAGACGTATGGAGAACGTAGGTAGGTATAACTCCACGTATTCTTAAAATCAGCAATGGATGGAATTGAGTGATAAGCTAACATCTGGCCATTTTCTCTACAATACACAGTCATCAGGGCCAATGTGACGCGCAAATCAGCAAAAATGTATCTGGAAAAACCGTGTTTTCCAAAATTGAATATACATTTCCTCTGTCTTCCTTTCAGACCTTAAACGTGTTTCAATAACTATTGTAGGAAGCAGTCCAATAACAACGTGAATACAGAGTACACTGAAACGAATGATTTGCAGCATTTGCTGTAAGCGTTTCGTCAAACTCTGAACTGCTGAGAAAGGAACCATGTTTGTAGCGGAACGAAAAATCAAGGACAAAAAGAGTAGAAAGCAACGCCCATATCTCAAGACTCACCTTACTGAGGAGGAATGGTTAACAGGGGGTCAGCGAACGGTCAGTCGACACCAGGAGTAAAACACCTTACAGAATCACTATATCACTAGCTTTAGTGAACCTGCAGAACAACAAACGAAACTCGTTCGTTATTCGAATGTTCAAAAAACCACAACACTACACTTGCTTATAAACAGTAAAATAGGTAACTGATCTCTCATATGTTGATATAGCAAATCATTCATAGCAGTCTTGGTCCATATTGTACGCTGCACAATGCGGTAATTACTGTTGAATACTTGAAATCAGGAGAAATTAAACTGATCTGAATGTAGCTTGTCACGTGGATCGTTTTGCAAACATTCGTTTTGTGGTGCAAAACTATTATGTCCCACTATTCTACCTTACACGCGCAATTCACGACACAGACTAATCGTAACAGAAATGCCGCCGGCTAGGCATGCATGGGATTGGTTGCCATACAGACAATGACGCCACCTGTTGATACTCAACACGACCGCATGGGAGCGTTGATGGTTGGAATCAGCGTCATGGGTTCTAGAACTCAGGTTTTGAAATTTAAGTCAGCCAACCTGGGGTATTGGAAGCAGGAGCAGGACACAGGCATCTAAAAATGAACACATTTTTATAATACAGAAAAATAATATTTATGTCTGTCTGTCATTATATCTTATCTCTGAAGTTTCTCAGTGGATGTAAAAGAAAAGCCTCAGACCAGTACGGACTCTTCGACACGTCCATGACAATTAAAAAGAATGAGATTTGGGACGCGGAATGTTAGAAATCTCGAAAGGGCTGAGACACTGAAATCAGTGAGTAGGGAATTAGAGAATTATAAGTTAGATTTAGTGGCAGTGCAGGAGGTGCGATGGGAGAGGGAGGGCGCGATCCCAGTGGACATATTCACATTTTTCTACGGAAAGGGCAATGACAGTCATCAGTTAGCGATAGGATTTTTTGTTCATAGCAGAATTAGGGCAGCAGTTAAGAGAGTAGAATTTGACAGTGACAGGTTGTCTTACGTAATTCTGTACGGACGTTGGTGTGAATTGGACTTCCCCAGATGGCAGAACACACAATCAAATAGATCATGTTTTAGTAGATAAGAGAAGGCAGACAAATGTAATTGATGTGAGATCATTCAGAGGAGCAGATTGCGACACTGATCATTATCTGGTGGTAGCAAAAGTGAGGGAGCGGCTTTCAGTAAGTAGACAAATTAAAACAAATTTTGACACAGAAAGATTTGATTTGAAAAAATTAAGTGAGGGAGAGGCAAAGGAACAATATCAAGTTGAAATTTCGAATAGGTTTCAAATTTTAGAGACAAATGAGGATAATGAAAGTGTGGACATCAACAGGGAGTGGGAAAATGTCAGAAACTGCATCAAAATTTCAGCAAAAGAGAAACTAGGATACTACAGGAGAAAGCAAAATAAACCGTGGTTTGATGAAGAATGTTCAAAATTAATAGATCGAAGGAAGTAAACATAATTTCAATGGTTGCGGAACCCAAACAAAACAAATGCGGATAATCTATGTAACGTGAGACGTGAAGCTAGTAGAACCTTTAGGAATAAGAAAAGGGTTTATTTAAAGGACAAAATTATTGAGCTTTAAACAAATAGTAAAGACAAAAATATCAGAGACCTGTAGAGAGGCGCGGTCTGAGGCATCATGCTTCGGACTGGCGATACGGAATGCGCACTGGTTCGAGTCTCGGGGAAATAAATTTCTCATGAGATTTTCGACTGGTGTATGGGACCGGTGTCAACCCAGCATCGTGATGAAATTGGGGAGCTACAATGAGTAGCGGAATCCGGTCAAGAAAACTTGCAATGGCTGGGGGTTCGTCGTGCGGACTACACATCACCCTCGTATATCTGATTGGATGATCGTTCACCTCTGCTTGAGACCAGCAGTCAAGCTAGTCGGCTTTGGCTCTCTGGAGCTGTTACGCCACGGATTTCATTTAATTTTTTTATCAACGTCAGACTAAGTTGGTAAAGGATGATAATGACAATTTGCTTGCAGATCCAATACAAATTTTGAATAGGTGAAAAAATTTCTGTAGTTAGCTCTTAAATGTTCGGCAAAGGGTTGCATATGAGGATCCCTAAGCTTATTCAGTTAATTTGGGATAAGGAAGAGATGCCACAACAGTGGAAGGAATCCATAATTATTCCTATTCATAAGAAGGGGGACGAGACTGAGTGTGGTAATTACCGAGGAATATCGCTGCTATCAACCTCATACAAAATTCTATCCAACATTCTTTTGGCAAGGTTAACCCCATATGCGAATGAAATTATTGGGGATCATCAGTGTGGGTTCAGACGAAACAGATCAACGATTGATCCGATCTTTTGCATTCGTCAGATACTACAGAAAAAATGGGAGTTCATTGGGACCTTACATCAATTTTTTATAGATTTCAAAAAGCCCATGATGTGAAGAGAGAAGTGCTTTATAATATTCTTATTGAATTTGGTATACCAAAGAAGCTAGTGGGTCTAATAAAAATGTGCTTAAATGAAACCTGTAGCAAAATTCGAGTAGGTAAATATGTATCTGAGACATTCCTCATCAAGAACGGTCTAAAACAAGGAGATGCTTTGTCTCCCTTGCTCTTTAACTTTGCGCTAGAATACGCCATCAGGAAGGTCCAAGGTAGGCAGGAGGGTTTGCAATTGAATGGGACACATCAGCTATTGGCATATGCAGATGATGTTAATTTATTGGGGGATGATATAAATACAATAAAGAGGAACACAGAAGTTTTACTAGAGGCTAGTAGACAGGTGGGGCTAGAAGTAAATTCAGGGGGAAAAAATGTACATGTTAGTATCTCGTCATCAGAAGACAGGCGGACAAGGCCTGTTTTTAAAGTACTGTGAAATCATTTACACGGAAGGAATAAGAGAAATCGCGGGAAGCCTGAAAGCCGAAGTGCGAGCCAAGATTTGAGCCCGGTACATCTCCAAGATACCTTTAACCTCTACACTGCGATATTCGGATCAGAGTATTATTATTTGGATACAGGCCAGTGGTCAGCTCTGGCCTCTTTATCCCCGAGGAAAAATCCTGAACATCATTGATTGTTAGGCTAGATCAGCTTCAAAGCCGGTCTGGAAACTACAATCACAAAATGAATCCGAAACCTGTCGAGATCAAACCCCAGCTGCCTCGTCACTTGACTGTGTATTATCTTGACTCGTGACTCGTCTGTTATATGACTGTATACTGGGTTACACAGATAGCAATAAGCCTGCTTCCTCACACTTTATATCAGCTTTCCGGTCTGAATGCGTGATATGGAGCACAGAGGGATGAACGTTCTCCCGACTCACTCTTCTGTATAACGCTACTCCGTTGAAAAGTCTGCTTGATCGCCACTAGGTCTCACCACAGCAGCAAGCAATGTGGTTCCCTAAGTTTCGGCAGTTATTTACACTGAGCGCCGAGTGGGTAGGCCGTGTACCTTGAAGTAACCGCATGCTGTCAGAATCTCGCGAGAAAAATTGTGTACATTGTTGCAAATTATTCACACCGACAAAATTTGTTTTTCCGGAAGACTTTAGCATAAGATTGGTAACAATTAATTCGGACACAATATCACAAATTCTCGTTAACCCTTTGAAGCCGAAACGTCTTTAAGAAACATTTAAGAAATCAGTCTTTAACTCGAAGAAAACATAATTCACGAAACATCGATTTCTTAATGCTGTTTCAGGAAATATCCCTGATACCGATGATCACACAAAATGCAGTTACTGATTGACACAGTAGGTGACCTCTGGGCTTTCAAGAATTAATGTCTACCGAATGTAGAGTGGTCCGTATCAATTATCGCATAGTCAGTTACAAGTGTAATAAATACGTGTACTTGGAAACTAAACTTTGATTTTCTTTAAACTCTAGATAACCTGTTAGCCCCTACACATTATTTATGTGTACATCTACGCCTGCTTGATTAGTGTCATTGTTATTGCGGTATTTTCGTTAGATTGTTTATATGAAATTAAAAATTGCCAAAAGGTCATCTTATAAATAACAGGTCTCTCTGAACATCGCATCGCAATGAATTAAATTGATTTTCAAATGGAAGTACGCAACACAATACGAAAATGTTAAAAAATGGCTGACCATTGGTAGGTCTATGTGCAGTATAAAGTTGAACTTGTTGATCGCTTTTAACACGGTCAGTTATCGATTTCTGAATTGACTTTTTCGTACTGACTGTTGCCCATGTAAAGAAAATTGTTTTCTGCCTAGGAATATCACCTTCAGAAAATTTGGATCTAAATGTAGCAAAACAACAAAGCGATGTAATAATATATCGTTCTAGTACGTAGTAAAATTTTCACTCCTGCTTCTTGTCCCGCTCCATAAGTTCTCCTGAAGCAGGGGTGTATCCATTCGACAGCGACCTTCGGTTTTGCCTGGAAAGAAATTAAGACATCAACAACGGTAGACCGGGCGAAATGTAAATATGGTATTTTCTAATTCAAGTCTAAAACTTAACGTTTATGCAATTGATTTAGTGTACAAATTATAAACACAAACAAAAATAAAGATACGCTACCATCACAATCACAACAGTTTCTAACCATTAACATTACCTGTTATTAATGGGTGTCTTCATCACTGGCAGCGTCACACCCTGACTCCTGTCAGCATGAGCTGACCTGTAAATGACAGAGAGACTCATGGCCAGCTACACGAGAGTGTTGAATTAATGAGTGTATCATTTTTACAGATCATAAAAATCTAAAAAAATTCTGCAGAATTAGTCCATTTTCGCCTGTACGACCTCAAAATTAAAATAATCACAATTCAAATAGGCCCATATAATTTTCAACCAACAAATAGGCCTACATCAAAACTGTAGGCCAATGCCTACATTTTTAAACCAAGCCTCGTGCCCTTATCAAAATCAGAAATAAATTTATATGACTTTAGACGCTTAAAACAGGGGCGTCTATCCTTCATTTCCAGGTACTTAAACATTAGCTATGATGAATTAAGTAGTTTCTGTACCTGTCTGTAAGTATTGTTATTCCCTGTTTTGTCACAGAAGTACAGATCCATTATACATTCGTAATTTCAGCAGCTTTAACTGTTGCATAAAACCACAGACGACTAGGTCGATCCCAGAGTTGGTCTCAATTTTGTGACGTAGAGGAACGTTCTGCTACATTGAGAATCAAACCACGGTATTCGTACTCGTACTCTTGTCATTGTATTGCTATTTGTACGCTTTAATAACCAGTCGATACTGAATGCATAATATTACCGACTGAGCTACCGAAGCTGATGTTAATATTCTTTGTCAGAACACAGATAGCAGCAGAGTTTAAGAGCGAGATGCGTTTGCATAAACGGAATTTAGCACCATTGTACGTACAGATTAAAGCACGTAACCATTGTAGGAGGTATGCTATTTGCCACGTCGGTTGAGCATCAAGGAACAGCGAAGTTGAGAAGACGTTTAAGTGGAATGGCGTGTTGCGACCGGAAGTCACTTTTCATTTCTCGTTCTCAAATCGTCTTCAGCAAAGCAAAAATATTTTCTGCTCTGCATACCTTGTATTCTGTAGGTCTCAGGTTCAAATATCGACTCAGAGAAAGGCTATTCGGACTGAGGTTTTTGTGATTTTCCTCGGCCCTTCTGGGCACTTCTTTCCGTGGCATTTTCAATTCATTGTTTATTAATTGTCATATTCGATGTTGTATAGACGTCGTATGAGCTGCTGACAGTTCGTTAAACAAACCACAAACCGCAAATATATAAAACTTGAGGATTACAACTAAATTTGTCTATACATTTCTCACTCTTGCATGTTACATGCGCCTCCTATTGTATCCTCCTTGACGTGATCTCAATACTAATATGTGGTTAACAGCATGCATTTTGAAACTGCTCATTTTTATCCCGAACTTCTATCCAATTACATCTTCTCTTAGATCCAGTTACAGGCGCGTTAAAAATCCTGTACGTGTATTCGTCCCACGGACCAGACCTCACACTTTTTCATCTCGCTGTTCCCAAACTCTGATTAAAAATTTTATGCTTCTGAGATCCTGTAATAACAATTTTAGTTAGGAGTCGATAACAAGAAATATATATTTAGTACATGCATGTACATTTTTTACTGAATTCCAATAAAACAAACCAATTCTTTTACTTACAAAAATTGTCTTCGATATTGCAAGAAAAAGAAATTGTCACAACAAAACGGATGAGTACTTTCAGTACTATCTTACACATACCGCTGTTTTGCGTTCTTTGCTTAAAATTTGTTCACTTCTTTTAGTGGATCAATAATGTAGCAAATATTTTTTTCAAGTGCTAAAATACATTGTAGCTGTGTAACTTGAGTTTCACTGCTCACTGGGGGGCTGTGGCCCCAGTTTGAGCAGCATTTATGTAGCAAACACGAAACCATCAGCTGGGACGATGGCGTACGTGACGAAATCGGGCGTTTCCCAATCGTTCTAGATTAGTGTCGGACATTTTCTTCATTTACGGCCACATTTTCACCGACTTTTTCAAGTCCACCAATCGCGACAGACAGAGTTCAAATGCGCGACAAACATATTCCGAGGGACAAACCGGAATTAAATTATTCTAAATGGGCGTTACGAAGAACGCATGAGAAAACACTGTGTATTCTGGCACGGAATACACCTTCCAAGCTTGTTTACATTACAGAATGCAAAGAACGCATGTGGAAACTGCATAAATTAAAAACGTTATAATTATCTTTGATTACATAAATACTACATACGATTTCATGCAATGCAAATAGTGATTTTAATAAATAATCACCAATCAGGACTGGTCTGTTATATAATATTTTCTCATAGAGGAATAAATGCGCCTACATGGTTACTTAACATACGCGGGCCTATACTAGGCCTATAGACATATAGGCCCATTCGATAAAGCCTTCCTTCCTTAATTTCAGGTTATTTAGTCAGTCAAAATAATTATTTTTGTGTTCTTCTGTGCTCCGTGTTGTCTGTTACGTGGTTACCACCTTTTCTAAATAACGAATCGCCTTCAACCCTGTTGATGGAGGCAGTCATCTACACAGCTTCAGTACCAAGAAAGCCACAATCGACACCTGTTCTTCGTCTTATGATCTATTCTGGCAATCTGACGAATTATTTCCGTCAAATAACAATGTAGTAGCCGTACTGAAATTGCCAAAGGAAGAACCTTCATGGGTATTTCTATTAGCTTATCAACAGCCGTGCGAGGTATGCTAATTATTTTTGCTAGTGGTGATACTAAATTACTTTATAAGTTGTAAACAAGAATATAAATGTAGCCTATACGGTGTAAGCCCACTATTAACAGGCGTGTTCCGTGGAATGGATTATAAATGATGCGCAAACATCCATACTCTTCCAATTACTACGAAATTAAAATTGCGCACACATTAAGAAGTCAAAACTGTACCAAATGAACCCTATTCGCTGTTATTAATAATCCGTGGCTTAACAGCCCTCTGAGAGCCAAGGCCGACTAGCTGACTGCTGGCCTCACGTTCACATGCCCAAGCAGAGGTGAACGATCATCCAACCAGATACAGGGTGACGTGTGGTCAGCTCGACGAACCCCCAGCCATTGCTAGCTTTCCTGACCGGATTACGCTACTCATTGTAGCTCCCCAATTTCCTCACGATGCTGGGTTAGCACCGATCCCATACGCTGGTCGAAAACTCATGAGAAAATTTCTTCTCCCCCGAGACTCGAACCAGCGCGCATTCCGTATCGCCGGTCCGAAGCATGATGCCTCAGACCGCGCGGCTACAGCGCGGGACGTTCGCTGTTATTACACACACTAAAATAAAATAAAATACATACAAATTGCTTAATATATGTTTCCCAGTCGTACTGTAGGCTAATAGTGAACTAAATTAACAGAATAGAGTCTCAAATATGACTGTCTACTAGAGTTTTTAGCCGTATAGTCTAGTAAAAGTTTGCCAATGTTGAAGAGGTACTTCCGGCCTCATCACAAGGGCGTGTGACGGAAATGGATATTGCAGTTATGGTCGCCTAACCACCAGACAAGAAATGAACAAAACTTGACAGGTGAAAGAATTTTACACTTTACTGGTACTGGTACGATGGCCCACGATTTTAATTTTTCGGTAATTGTGAAAATAAATAAACTAATCTAGCATCTGTTGATACCTGCTCGCTGTCTGGATGGATGCATAAGTAACAAACGCAGGGGATATTTCACCACCTGTTCGTAGAAATACATGTCTGAGAAGTACTGATGTTGAAGGACTCTTAGATAATTTAGCTAAGTAATTTTCCAAATAATTACATATAATTTATCACTGTAAACAGTTAATATTGTTATTTAATTCACCTTTGGAGCCTATTAACAGTTTACGATAATCCGTATAACAAATCCAATAACATCATAAGTATGTGGTAAAGCATGGGATTCATAAAGTGGCCCAATAATAAACGTTTCACTAGCAGTGATAACAGCTTTTTTATTTCTGGGAGTATTTTCTATTGTGTACTACTGAACTGTAATTAAATGTAAATGTTTGGATAAATTTAGTAAATTGTTTTGCAGTGCCTTTTTCATTGTAATATTTTGAAAGTTCCTTTCATTTAATATTATTCCTACAAGTAACTTATGTAACAAATACATGTTTTCTAAACTTTTTTAAGAGTTTTTAATAGTTCAGTGCGTGGGTCACCTTCAGATATTTGGATCCGTAAAGTGACCCGTATGAACAACTTTTCCGTTTTGGTTTGCTGCTTCAAAATCTTACATTTTCATAGTCTCTAATGTCCCTCTATTCTCACTTTCCCATGTGCCATTTGGTCAGAATTTCAAAATTATGGCTACAGCACGTAAAATCAAAGAAACTGACAAACTTTTAAGTGGGCCACGTTTGGCGCTAGTAACTGGTAATTCAAGATTATCTCAGTCAGTGATTAAATTAACATAAAATGTAAGCCTTCTATAGAACAGTGTGAATAAACGAAACTTTATAGCTACGAATCAATTAATCAATAAGTAAATATTATCTTGAATATAACTACCACAGTCAATATTATTGACAATACGTTTAACAAATTTAACACTTGCGTGTATTTTATGTTTGTTCCAGCTCTGTATGTTTGCAGGACAAGGATGATAAATACTAAACAATTAGGAATGACGAGGTGACGAAGTAGTTTCCTCTATCAAGGGATGAATCAGTGATCAAGTACCGGACCGCTTGTTTCATTACCCCGAGACCACTGGAAACTCCTCTCGAGGAGTTTTTGCGATACAGTGCTGACTTGCCCCTGCAGTTTCCAGTGCAGTCTGTATCCTGCCCCTCGCTACTTCAGCACAGCACCAGCCTGTCGTCTCGAAAGAGCTCTTGGAGCGCCACATCAATTCGGCTTACCCTGTCCTCCACGAAGCGGCCGTCACTAACATTCAGATACTTGAAGCGCCGAAAGAAATTCAGCACCAGGAAAGAGAAAAGCTCTGTGCCGACATGGGTGTGGCGGACCGTATAAACCGTTTCCTACAAAATTCTCCAGTTACATTTTGTGGAAGGTTCGATTCCTACATGTTGCTTTCGGATGAAAGGGGGATGGGTGACTTGAACACAATTTGAACGAACGAAGGAAAACCACCTTTCGTCCTAGAAAATGCCCCAGCTATGATAAAATTAAGTTATCGGCATTTCTGGCACATTCCAGTAACAGCATGTTTAAAAATGATGCAAAACACCTCAGCTGTGGCGTACCCTGTGCATCTCCCAAAGGGTTTCAGCAGCGTGGCATCATTGTTGGAATCGTCGGTCCTCGTTGTCGCTTGGAGGGGTCCTGGATTGCCATGAAGTGATGGTAACGTAAACACAGAATGTAAAGATAAGGGTTGCAGATAAACAGCACTGAATGAGAGTCAGCATTACTGGCGTCAAATATGGGTAAACTTTTATGGCGTTTTAAGTCTTCCAACATACAAAATGTATTTATATCGCGACTGAACTGCTGCCTTTAGAGACCGTGGAGCCATGCATCTGCCGAGAACAAACTAGCCTACATCCACTAGGACTAGGAATTTGGAAGATTTCTGGACACTAGGAGAATAATTGGATTCTGATGGTGTGATATAGTCGGTTTTGTTGGGTTTTTGGACCTTGTCCATCGTCCAAGGTTAAAATGTATACGAAGTTTCGAAAACCAAATCCGTTTTCGTCTTTAGGTGCCCCTGCAGCATACACCTGAAGACGAAAACGGATCCTGTTTACGAAACGTCCTATACATTTCAACCTTGGACAATGGACAAAGTCCAAAAACTAAACAAACAAAACTAGGAGAATATTTCCTTGACGTATTCGCTATTTGCTTTGAGAGACGTTGAATCACGTAGCCGACATCAATTTTGTTTGGTTCATAGAGAAAACCTGTGCTGGAGAGGGAAATGGAGGCACAATAGGAGACGACGAACATTCCATCCGGATACTCTTCTCAAGAAGTCATTTACATGCTCCTCTGGAGGATGCTGAAGATGCCGGGAAATTGTGGGTGGTATGGAACGCTTGGGATGGCAATTCACTGCCGGGAAAAGAATCTGGATAAGACAATTAGACAGACCTGGATATTCAGAAAATGAGTGTTGCACACAAATGTCAGAAATTCAGAACCTACGCATTAGTCGAAAGAAAATAAGCAGCACCAATCTCCATGTAGCACGTTTAAGATGGGGACTTGTGCATGTGGCAGAATGTGCTCGCAGTAAACTTAATTAACAGACATTTCCAGATGAGAAACAAGTGTCTCACTAAATAGTGACGCGTCTGACACATGCCCTACATGTTCTTAGACAAGGCTGTATTCAATAATGTATTTAATCTATTTTCGTTTTTTCCAAAGAGAATAGCGACACGTGTCTTGAAGTCACCACGTCTACTTCCTGCATTATTCTCCTTACAAAATGTTGAATCCCGATGTTCAACTTCGTCTACGTAAGGCAAACTACGAAGAAAGTCTCTCCAGAATGAAATACTGCTCTTTTCTTCAACATTATTTTTCCATTCATTAATCTTTTTTTAATCGTAACATTCTTCGTCTTTCTTCGATCATCGCAAAATAAAGTCCCTGAAGACTATTGAATAGAACATGCACAGCATAATTGGTGGCCTCGTTTTCGGTAATTTCATCTTTCTGTTCATTAAGACTTAGGCTTTGAACATTCCTGTTCGTTTCCTTACTCCTGGTGGAGGAAAGTGAAGTGGACACTGGGTTCTTGTTTAGAAACTTTAATTTGTTATGCCAATTTGTTTCTTTGGTGATGCTGAGACTAAAGCGTCTTAATTTCTGCTGCAGTATCTCCACGTATCAGGCAGCATTAAAAATGCCATTATAAATAAAGACCTGCAATTATTGCTTGTACGTAATTTCATTGCGATCATAAACAAGAAGATATGATCATCTACGTGCACTAGGGTACGATAATTTGTCATTTTGTTTTCATTTACTACACACAATTGTATGCGTACTGGAAATATTAGTCTGAAACATTTCCTCTATGTACTTGTTTCTTAATAAAATTATTTTTATTCCTCATTTTTCTGACTTCTTCTTGTGATAGGAATCACAGTATTTTGCGTAGGCTACAATCTTCTTTTGCATAAATAATTCCCTCGTCCCAGTGTATTGTTTAACGCTGTTGCAATTTTATTAGATTAAAAGACTACATCTGAAAATAAAGTAAGACTGTAGGTCTAAGTCAGTGGTCACCAACGCGGTGCCCGCGGGCGCCATGGCGCCCGCCAAGGCTTTTTCTGGGTGCCCGCGTTGATACGGAAAGAGGTTATACTGAATAATGAAGGCCGTTCAACCATGAACATTATAAAATCAAAGCACAGATCTCGACTTACTAACGTCCGTCTTGACGATTGTTTGCGAGCAGCAATATTGTTGTTTTGTGTATTATTTGGTGTCCATATCTTATTTGTCCAGAGAAAAGAAAATTTGGCTTTGTTAATTGGTTGGTGCCCGCCACGATCTCATAAACTCTCAAATGTGCCCGTAGGCACAAAAAGGTTGGGGACCACTGGTCTAAGTGAACATCACTGATTCAATATGTAGAAACAGCATGCATTAAAATGTGAAGCGTTCAAACTTGAACCATAACGTCGGTGACATGCGATACGTGTTGAAAAAGGTTTCTGCCACACCGCTTTTCACTATAGAGCGACGTTGGTGAGGGAGGAGTTGTAATGGCTTGTTGCGTCATCCAATGAATGATCCATCTTCATCGTATGCAACGCGTCGGTGTAGAAAGAATAATATAACCGAAAAGCAACGAAATATTAAATTCGCGAAAATTATAGAATATGCCGGAATGAAATGACCATTCCATTCATGGTCATTTTCACAAACTAACAATGCGGCTGCTTTGATGCGAACGTCCAGGCGATATGATATCACCTATCGCCTGCTGAGTTTGCTAGTTGCTTTCCTGAATTCTGCCTAAGGATAAACGTTCTGTTTTGCTTGCAGTTGTAAAGGTATGTTTTCTTTCTACGAAATAAATAGATTTCATTCATGTAGGTTTAGCGTAATAATGAATAGGAAACAACATTATTCGTGAAATTTGATATTCTTACAGAAAGATGCAGGATCTAACCGACGCTGAAATGGTCACTAAACATCCTGACTCTTATGGAACTCGAAGGATAATACCAGTGTTTGTTCGACCCTGCCACTGGGCCCTAATATGAGGCAGTTCAATAAAATTCACGCCCAATTTCCTTAAAATGTATTTTAATGGATTCTCACATGAACACATGCGTGTCTCAAATCATCTCTTAGATTCTTTGCTTCCGGCTAACATTTTGTGTGAAAGCCTATTTCTCATCTTCCAAATTCATGCTACATGCCCGACTATCTTCAGCCTCCTTGACCTGATTACCCTCTTCGTATTCTATGAAGTGAAAATTACGAAGCTTCCAAATGAGTTATTTTCTACATTCTCCTGTAACTTCTCTCTCTGAAACATTTATTCTGACTAGACCTACAAGTCGATTGACAGAAAGGTTAATAAATTGAACTAATACAAAAGAATTGGAACACAAAGTGACTTAATTTAAGTTATTAACCCGCTATTTGCCTAGGGGGGACTGAGGAAAACCATAAAAAGAACTCAGGACTAAAATAAACGTCAGTTCGTCAAAACAGTGAAAGCCTGATAACGGAAACAGAGACGGTCCCAGAAAAGTCGGTGAGTTTTAAGCACTTGACATGGCTGATAGTCCGAGAATGTTTCATTAATTCGGTTCGTCATGAAAGTTTTAGATCATACACAAATGAAGGTTTACCTTAGGTCTATGAAGTTCAATCGAAAATATTACAAATCATGGCTTGAAAGAAAACAATTAGATCAGAACATCAGAGATGTAATCTAAAACGTTGCCTATTTCTTGTTCAAAAGCTTGTTATCCTTCTCCGACTGGAAGTTTGTCGCCCAGCATTGCACTTCCCTGGCGTTTCCAGTTTGTGCCCGTGTCTTTTTGTTTCTCATCTGTTGATGAACAAATGCCGATGGAACTACATTTTTTGTGATTTTGGCAGGTGTTCTACGTCCTCCTGCCACATGAAGATTGCTGCTATGCATCCTACCAAGTCCTGACGTTTTGGGTGAAATACCGACGCACAATTTCTCATCAGTCGCATTGCCCATTTTCTGAACTACAAAGTCTTCACCATCTCTGATGTCCTCATCATCTTTGGCTGTGTCTTCATCCTTTTCAACCTTTATCTGTGGTCGAGGGAACACACTGGCGTTCCCTGGGTTGGTCTTATGTGTTTTGTTGTTGTGGGTAGGGGATGGCACAAACGGTGATCCGTGCTCGATCATTAGCAGGTTATTCCCGTTTCTGTCACACATGAGGGGGGCTTTCAGCATCAACAAGTGGTGGCGACAGCGGATAGACTGTTGCAGGCGAGCGATCGCACCCTCAGGACAAGTCCCGTTGCTCAACGAGGAGTTGCATAGCGTAGCTTCACACTTCACTTGCACCTCAAGACCATTGTTACACACATTGTTAGTCTTGTTAGCGTTGCTGCTGTTGTTAACAGTTATTTGAGGCTGATGTTTCTTCTGCCATTCCAGAACGTTAGTCAGCAAACGGATGTACCTGAAACGAAGCACATACTCTTCATTTAATTATATATTCTCGAATTCAAGGAAGACGATGTTAGTTGTCGGGTAACAATAATTATTACGTGGCGGAAATTGAACAAATTTAAGAAATTCTCACTTACTGCTAGAAATAAGGATTCCACATATTTATTAAAAATAAATTAGTCATATGATTGGCTGGTATTAGTGCCGTTTTTCAAAACAGAACTCGAATGCCACATTCTATACAGATCAGCTTGTTTCTGAGGAGTTAAATCATTTGAAGCCACGTGATGTACCTGATGGCCATCCGCAGGATTTCGTTCTTGGAGAGCTTCTTGTCCGGCGGGTGTGTGGGCACCAGCTTCCTCAGCTCCGCGAACGCTCCGCTGACGTTTTGCTGTCGCCAACGCTCTCGGCTGTTGGTGAAGATCTTACGCACGATGATGCGTGGTGAGGGATGCGGGTGGGTTTGAACAAGCCCCGAGTGATGGCCCGACACCTCGCCACCACTCGCAACGCTAACTCCGGCAGGAGACAAGGCCGAAAACACACTCCTATTGTATTATACAAAAAATTAATACAATTATGATCCCCAACACCACTCGGACAGGATCGAAGGAGGCTGAAACGCAGAGAGAGAGAGAGATCGAAATACAAATTGCGATGTTGCCCTCACTGATAATTCTTTGCACACTTCTAACGTAACTGAATACTTTATAAACCAACTGCCCGAGCGAGCGCATAGCATAGGACAGACTAATTGGCAAAACAAGGGCACGTGACAGTAGATGCGCAGGATCGTCAAAAACTCACGACTCCATCGTTCGTGTTGGCCAGTATAGCGGAAATCAAATGGTTACAAATAACAAAAGTAAGGTGATACTTGCTATGGAAATTAGGCCTCAAACGGACGTATTTGCGATGAAAGTAGGGTGTACTAGGAGAAAAATCTTCACTTGTCCCCACATGGACAGCCCTGGAATTGACAGAGTGCGTCTACATTGTGAATCCAACAACTGACTGCTGCAGATAACGCTAAGTTAAGTAAATACCTGTACTGTATGCGGCCTGGGAAGTCACATGGTACACTACTAGCAGACAGAAAAACATCGGGACTTTACTGGTAATATTTTATAACACTGGAAATTATAAACTAGTCAATAATGACTATTTCCTATTTGACAACTGACGTTTTTGTTCGCACGGCGGTGAAGATGTCATGTTTGCGTTCTAGGTTGTGGCGCCATGACAATTTGTATGTATGCACCAACTTTTCTTAGGAACATATTTAAACCCTGGAAACGGAAAAAGCATGTTCCTCCGAAACACTAGTAGGCCTATCTACTAACAAGTCCATACTGCGTTGCAAGCCAGAAGACAGGCAGAAAATTGTTCTTTATTTTTCCTGAAAATTATTTTTGCAGATCCTGAAATTCGCCCTGTGGTCGACGATTTATCATAGCTGCTAAATATGCCAACGTGACTGGCAGACACTTAATAACCTTGGAATAAGTCACTGCATTAATTACAGACGCATGTCTCAGCCTGAATGTGCATATACCCGCACTCAGGATTTAGTGACCGAGGAGACAATAGCTCTTAGTACATCTAAATGTATGTGACGAGCAAAGGAACTGACGACGAGAAATACTTTGCCTCTACACCCTTATGAAGCAGCACCTTGCTCCTACAATGCACATAAACAGTTCCACTTAAAATAGACACACTATAGCCTACCTGTTGACTGCAGTAGAGTCTAGTCTATTGTCTTCATCGTCGTCGTCGTCTGAATCAGGGATAGAGAAGTCGTCAGACATGAGGTCGTCCTCCAGTTCCTCCGACAACGAGTCCATGTCCGCACCAGCACTCGCCGCGGGTCCCCTGGACCCCTCGCCCCTCGGTTCACCAGGGCGTCGCGGCGGAGACGAGGTCGTGCTGTAGTCTGTGCCATCGCCATCGCCTGACCACTCCATCTCAAACATGGATGGAGAGAACGTGATCAGGGGCTGAAAACACGACGTCATATCAGCTACTGAGGATTAAAAAGTGACATCACTATGCTTAATAGAGCATAATGCTACGCATTGCTATCTCGGCATTAGATGAAGGTAAGTGATTTGCTTCAAGCTCCGGTCGCTTTACCATAGGCAAAGGAGAACCCGTAGTCATTGGACAGAACAGTGGATCCCAAATTAATTTCTTACCGGAGAACGTAAAACTGCTGAGGGTCTTCGCAGATCATTAATGACTTTTTACATGTTGGAATTTGGGGGTTTCATGGCTGTGAAAATGTCGATGTTGATCTTTCGAATTGTAACGCCATAGTGGTCTTTTTGAGCAGATACCGAAGTTTTTGAAAAACGTACAACTTCCATCTTAGAGCTTGCAAATGGAGGCAGCATGTTCCTCAGAGCCTTCTGATTCTTGTTTAAAAGTTATAATGCAACGTGGCAAAAATGATAAAGTAAGCTTATTTAAAATATAAGGAAGTTTCAGTGAATGAGATATAACAAAGCAGTAAAATTAAACGAACCCTTTCAACTCTAGTGGTAATTATATGTACCACCTGCAGTTCGTAACCCTTTATTTTGTATTTTGTGTTTTCTGTTATTCTCACAGAAAACAGGGATTGTTTCCTTAAATGGCATTAACAAGTAAATATTAGAAATGCTAAAGAGTTGTGTTCTCTTTGATGTACAGGCAGAATTCTTGAAAAATATTTAGACTAGCTTCGGCTTGAAAGGGTAAAAGTCTACGGCATAGATTCCTATGTGGTATTTCTTAAAAATGCCATCAATAGCTATAAATGTTTTAATGTGATGGATGTGTCTTTTGTATTGAAGTTATTCGAAGTTCGGCGTTACATCTGTCAGTTTGTGTCTGGTTTCATCTTTCTTCTGTGTTTGCATTTGATAGCAAAAGTTACATAAGCGTGGCCTTACAAATACGTTGTAGAAAATGGTATCAGAAAATAATATCTTAGTGCTCTACATTCTGGGCAATCTCCACCTCTTTGAATCCAAAACTACTTTTAAATTCTGAACGCACTGTTTTGTCGACATATGACAACTCTTGTAATTTTCTTGACAAATTAAATTCTGTCTTGGCTCATTTTATACTCTAGTGAGGTACGTGTAAAGCCGAAGTTAATATAACTTCATTTATATCGCACTGCCTTGTAGTTCTTCTGCGTCTCGGTGTTAATTTGTCTTGAGCAATTTTATTGGCCCCTGCTAGATATGCAAGCTTATTTGCTCTCTGCATGTGCGTTGGAGGCTCCTTTACTGGTGGGTCATCTTCCTTCATGAAATATTTTGTAGACTTAGTCACTGTTTGTTTCAGCATTTCTTAATTTAGTTTTCAAATCTCTCGTCTTCATCCACACATCTGTTTCTAAATGTTCTTTACTGTCCATTTTTATAAACAAACAACTCAGAATCGTTAAGTGAGATTTCGGGTACTCGCGGCGTTGAGTATGAAGACAAAAATATTACTTTTCTTCATCAACACAGGACAAGCTGGAACCTCCAACAAGCATTAAAACTACTGATAATGTACTTAGGCATGCACTGTTACGTGTTTCAGCCAAATACGGCCATCTTCAGGCAATACTGAACTTGTATAAAACCACCTGCTGTAAAATACATAAGAGACTATTATTTGGTAGTTGTACATAAAGCATTAAAGTAAAACAATAAAATAAAACATTATCCTATTGTTACACTGCAAAAATAATAGCCCATATTAAAATTAAAATAAAAAATAAAAATTAACATTAAAATATCGATATTTATGTTAAACTTTTGAGTATGTTCAGGTTAAATATTTGGCATTCAATGCAGCAACATTGGTTACGGCCTAATTAATATTTAATATAGTAAAACAACGCATCATAATACAGAAATATGCAATAGAGTATACACCCAGTGCTGCAGTTTCATTGCTCACGTACATAAGATGTGAACATTACGCACAGAATGTAATTCTATAGGTTATAAACAATATATAGATGAGGAAACTTCGTTGTTCCGAGATACATTCAAATGGAGCAGCTTCTCCACTCACAGGCCTGAAAATGTAATCAGCACATCGGGTGCTTATAGACTAATGACTAACTAAGTGTTAAGGTTGTGAAGATAATTATGGGACACGGTGTACATTAGCTCTTGTTGCAAACCAACAAAGCAACTGAGTACATAAAATGTAGGAGGTAAAGCGAAATGTTGGATAACCGATGGTCGGATGACCGGGACTCTACTGTATATGTCTCCTATGAAAAATATGCAAGACAAAACGAAAAATAAACTACACTGATACCCGGAAATTATGCAATAAACCAATCATAGCAAATTACTGAAGCAGGATACCTCTTACTCGATGGTATTTTGTTAATACCCGGAAATGTCTGAAGCAAGATGCGATGTAATAAAAACACGTATGAAATAGAAGTGTTGGATTTTCAACGCATGAAATTTCAGTTTATGTTTGTCAGCCGATCACAGGAGCTAAGAAGCTTATCGTCTTACACCATTCAAATACTGGAAAAGAGGGTTTGAACACGGATTGAAGCTTGAAAGTAAGAAATGTAGGCATTCCTCGCTTTATTGCGCTTCTCATATATTGCATTATTTACAAATTGAAGGTTTGTGGCAACCCTGCGTCGAGCAAGTCTATCGGCGCCATTTTTCCAACAGCATGTGTTCACTTCGTGCCTCTGTGTCACATTTTGGTAAATCTCGCAAAGTTCTCGCATTGTTTTTTTAGACATAATGCTATTGCACACTTAATAGACTACAGTATAGTGTAAACATAACTTTTATATGCACCGGGAAACCAAAAAATTCGTGTGACTCGCTTTATTACGGTGGTCTGGAACCGAACCCGCAATATATCCGAGGTATGCCTGTATTCTGTATTACGTTGTGCTGTACATCTAGACACTGCACTACGCCACTTCCCCGAGTCACGCTTCATTATTTCTGATGCCTGAATAGGAATTGGGCCAAGAGACCAATCCATGACAGCTGAAAAAATAATAGATTAGTTTATAACAAAACTGACAATGTTCCTCTTACGAAAACTTTCTTCACATTCTGGCCCAAAGTTACTAAGTGAAAGCAATTATTAACACTGACACGTGTACACCAATGGAGTACCCACAGCTGACCTATTTTGTAACTGCGTTCTTTGCTGGGTCCAATAGCTTATAGGTCTATTTGTTCGGCCGTGAGGTTAATTTATTACAGATACAAATCTACTTTGGCACAGAAAATAAAGTTTTTTTCTTGTGTTGTGTAAGACTTGAGGTTTTCACGGCGATGAGTCTGAAAATGTCTGTAAACTTCACCAGACTACACGGCGCAACAACCCAGAAGACAGACGTCTTATTTTGTTTCAGTTAAAGGATCTTCAACTTTCTCCAGACATGTCTGAATTAAAAGTAGCCATTTCAGTTAGATTTAACCATACAGGACTGGACCTACATTCAAAAAATGTCATATTTGTTACGATGAGGCTAGACTATGTCTCTGTGAAACTGGACCGCCAACGGGCCCATTTTACATCCCCCCATATGATACATGAGGAAGTACGGAGCAGTGATGAAAATTCATAGTGACAGGGGAAAACCGAAGGACTCGGAGAAAAACCTGACCCAGTGCCACTTTGTCCACCATAAATCCCGCTGGGACTGCTCTGGACGCGAAACTGGACTTTAGCGGTGAGAAGCGACTTTCAAGCTGAGTTCCCGAAACTGTTAGATGATGATGGGATTAAGTGGTTGACGAAGGTGTATAATTGCATTTATGATGCAGGAAACATTCCTTATGAATGGCTGAAATCCACATTTATACCTATCCCCAAAAAATCCAGTGCAAAAAAATGTGAGGATTATAGAAAAATTAGCCTCATGAACCTCTTGTTAAAATTACTGTTGAAGATCATTCATAGACGAATATACGAGTACAGGCTATGCGAAGAAGAGATTACTCGCACCCAGTTTGTATTTCGAAATGCTGTGGGAACAAGGGAGGCAAGTATTAATTAAGCGCTGCAGGGATGTCAACTGTGATGTATATGCGTGTTTTGTTGACTACCAAAAGCCTTCGATAGAGTTCGGCACGATAGGATGGTGGAAGTCCTGAAAAGGACTGGAATTGATGGAAAAGATTCGCGTCTCATTGTGAACCTCTATTGGAACCAAACCGCTAACATCAAGGTGGAAGGTGTCTGTTCAGAAGACATAAGAATAAGGCGTGGTGTTCGGCAGGGATACAATGTATCTCCAATTCTATTCAATCTCTTTTCGGAACACATATTCGAAGAAGCGTTGGAAAATGTAAACGCTGGAGTGCTTGTGAATGGAGAACATTCGGTACGCGGACAATACTGTAGTGTTCGTCGACTCTCCGGAAGGTCTCCAAGAATTGATGAATCGTATTGTGAAGGCCAGTACCAACTACGGCTTAGAGCTGAACATCCAAAAACGAAGCTCATGGTCATCGGTAAAAATTCTGTATTACCCGGTCAGCTGGTTGTTAATAATGAAAATGGAAAGAGTATCGAAATATACATACATGGGCAGCACAATTAATGACTCCTTGGAAATAAAGTGCCGTATCGAAAAAACCAGAGCCACTTTCATCAAAATGGGATCAATATTCAGGAGTAGAGACTTAAACTTAAACACCAAGTTAAGACTACTCAGATGTTATATTCTCTCCGTGCTTTTATACGGCGCTAAATCATGGACGTTGACCGAAGCTGCTTCAAAAAAGTTGGAGGCCTTCGAAATGTGGTTGTACCGACGTATTCTCAGAATTTTCTGGACTGACCGTATAACCAGCAAAAACGTTCTCGAGAAACTCCGCAAGGACGTCGAGGTTGTTAAGACCATACAAAGAGAAAGTTGGAATATTTCGGTCATATCATGAGAAATAGTGATAGATACGGGTTGCTTCAGCTGATAATGCAGGGAAATTATTCGGAAAGAGGGGACCTGGCAGGC